TAATACGTCGAATCAGAATTGGAATGCTGTGTCTTCTATACCTTTATATAGAGGCTCCTGTGTGTTGGTCAGGTACAGGCTATGTTGCGTAACTAAGTTATTCCCAACTAGGTTTTGTGATATGTAATATCACTTTCAGCTTTCATCCAAATTGGTTGGTGTTTTAATGTTGATATGCCCTTGCATTGCGGTTGTACCCTGTTCGTATTACTACTACCAGCCTGATGCTTCTAGCCTAAATTCGAGTTTTTACACACCTCCATATATAGACCTATCTCTCTACAGATAGAACCTTTCCAATTTTAGTCATTTGTACATTGCTAATGGTGCTTCCAATTTTGGTAAGGCCAATCCTTTACTACAGATCATCCTCATATTTACCGCTTCTCTCACTACTTCAGTTTTGGTAGAATTATATTACTCTCCCAATCAAATTTCTATGCCATAATTCCAAATCAGGACTTATATACGCAATCCGATAATCACCCTTCCAAGCAAGTACTCCACAAGTTGGGTGTAGGGATGTTGGTATTGCCTTAAATGGTGGAAAAAAGATGTTGGTGTTGCTTGTGTCTATGAGGACTTACATGCACAATCATTCTACTGAACCTTCTGTAACGCCGCTATCACACATAGTGCTTACACTCTATGATTGGATCTCCTTCTAAGAATTTTTATTCCAGAACCATACTTGCATTTGGACTTTCTACAGAGCTTCGCATTCAATTATGACCTCATATAGGTTACAGTAGCAAATTCGAAAATTTGCCACGAACCATTGACCTTGTCTGTGGGGGTTTGAGAGCTTAACCAATAAGCTACGGAGCCCAATCCTTATCTTTTTTATTTATTAAAAGTTTTTTGTTTATTAAAAACTTTTTATTTATTAAAAGTTTTTTTATTTATTAAAAATATTTTGTTTATTAAAAGCCTCTTTGTTTATTAAAAGTTTTTTTAAATTTTTTTATTTATTAAAAGCCTTTTATTTATTAAAAGCCTTTTTATTTATTAAAAGCTTTTTTGTTTATTAAAAGCCTTGATATTTATTAAAAGCCTTTTTGTTTATTAAAAGCCTCTTTGTTTATTAAAAGCCTTTTATTTATTAAAATCCTTTTTGTTTATTAAAAACCTCTTTATTTATTAAAAACTTTTATTAATTAAAAACTTTCTTATTTATTGTCGGGGATGATGCTGGGAATCAGATGATGCTGGGAATCTGGGGTTTCAATTTACAAATATAAACCCTACTAAAATTCACATATACTCTTTCATTATAAACTCTAACCCTAAATTCTAACTTAACTCTAAAAAAAAGCTAAAAAAATGTTTCAAAAAATTTTAAAAATTTTAGATTAAAATAATTCAAATTCCCAGCATCATCTGATTCTCAGCATCATCCCCCACATTTATTAAAAATATTTTGTTTATTGAAAGTCTCTTTGTTTATAAAAAACCTTTTTGTTTATTAAAAACCTCTTTGTTTATTAAAAGTCTTTTTGTTTATTAGAAATCTTTTATTTATTAAAGCTTCTTTATTTATTAAAAGCCTCTTTGTTTATTAAAACCCTTTTGTTTATTAAAATCTTTTTTGTTTATTAAAAGCCTCTTTATTTATTAAAAACTTTTATTAATTAAAAACTTTCTTATTTATTAAAAATATTTTGTTTATTGAAAGCCTCTTTGTTTATGAAAAGCCTTTTTGTCTATTAAAAGCCTCTTTATTTATTAAAAGTCTTTTTGTTTATTAAAAATCTTTTTATTTATTAAAGCTTCTTTGTTTATTAAAAGCTTTTTTATTTATTAAAAGCCTTTTGTTTATTAAATTTTTTTTTGTTTATTAAAAGTCTTTTTGTTTATTAAAAATTTTTTTGTCTTTTGTTTATTAAAAGCCTTTTTATTAAAAGCCTCTTTGTTTATTAAAAACCTTTTTGTTTATTAAATCTTTTTGTTTATTAAAAGATTTTGTTTATTAAAAGCCTTTTTGTTTATTAAAAATTTTTTATTTTAATAATCCTCTTTGTTTATTATTTTTTATTTATTAAAAATTTTTGTTTTTAAAAGCCTTTTATTTATTAAAAATCTTTTTATTTTTTAAAAGCCTCATTATTTATTAAAAATTTTTATTTATTAAAAGCCTCTTTGCTTATTAAAAAATTTATATTAATTAAAAGCTTCTTTTTTATTAAAAACTTTAATATAAATTAAAATTTTTAAAAAAATATAAATAGTACTTCTCCTGTCCTTTGAAAAGTTATATATTTTTTTAATTTTTTTTGATTTTATAATTTTATTATTAAAAATAATTTTTAATTTTTAAAAATATTAAATTTTAAAAATTTTAAAATGTTTAAAAATTTATCTATTGAACAAATTAAATTAAAATTAAAAAATAATGAATTTATTACTTAAGAAAAAAGTGGTAAAAGTGAAGTTTGGCAAAGTTTTATGTAAAAATTGTGATCAAATTTGTACTTATTTACAAAAATCTGAAACTTCACATTTATTGCATCATTATTGTGCTTCTTCTAGTAATCAATTAAAAATTACAACATTTTTATCTAAAAAAACTATTCCAACAAATATTAAGGAATTAACTATAAATAAATTAGTTAATCTTGTATGCAAAGATTACTAGTAAATAATTTAATTGACGATTCTCCAGTCAACTGAAGAATGATCATAGTGAAACGTGACGCGGTTCTATATATAAATTACTA